CCCCAGCTGGTGCTGCCCGAGTACTCCATCCACAGCCTCTTCTGCGTCATGTTCCTGTGTGCTCGGGAGTGGCTCACCCTGGGGCTGAACGTGCCACTGCTCTTCTACCACTTCTGGAGGTGAGTCTGCGGGACCGGAATGGGCCCAGGCAGAGGGGCACCAGCCCTCCTCGCTCCTGCCTCCGGGCCCCCTCTCCAAACCCCACCCGTGCCCCTGGCCTGTGGCGGGGAGGGCCCCGTCCTTGTGGGTCAGTGTGACAGCAGCCACAGCGCTGTTGAAGTGGCTGAGCAGTGGAGGACCCCAGTGCCCCCAGGTGACAGCCGGATGACAGGACAGAGTGTATCCACACAGTGGAATGGTCTTTAGCCACGAGAAGGGATGAAGGATGGATTCTTGCTGCACATGGCTGCAAACACAAGTTGAAAGAAGCCAGATGTGATGGTCACACGGAATGGTCACATATCATCCCACGTATGTGAGATGTGCAAAGCAGGCCAACCAAGGAGACAGAGGGCAAAATAGTGGTGTTGGGGGCTGGGAGGGAGCAGAATGGGGTGAGTGCTTATTTTGCAGGGTTTTCTTTTGGATGATGAAATGTTCTGGAACTGGGTAGCATGATGGTCGTACAACTCTGAAAATGTACTAATACCCACCAAACTGTGTCCTTTGGAAGGGCGAATTTTGTGGCCCGTGAATTACATCTTAATTTTAAAAAGCACTTAGCAGATAGGATGGGTTTTCTGGGTCATTCTATTCCCTGCTAAGACCACGTGTGGGGTCATGAGATGTGGGCTTGATATAAAATACCCTCACCGGGCAGTGAAGGAGGATGTAACCACAGGGCCCACCCTGGTCCCCTTGGGCGGGAGCTTGACTCCAAACCCTTTCCTCATTGTTATTTTGCCATGGAACAAAGCCTCTGTTTAGCCACATCTAAGGCATTTCACTAAGACGTGCGGAAACGTACTACATGCTAGGCCTTGTGGGAATCCAAGAAGAATACTTAAATATAAATATAGCCCTTTCCCCGAGGTGCACCCCAGTGCAAGAGAAATGGACTCCTGAGGGACAGACAAGGACTGTCTGCCAGGGGAGTGCAGGGGATGGAGCCCTACACCAGCCTGGAGAGTGCTGGAGGGGCACACGTGTGTCCATAATGTGCATGCAGCCGAGGGCCGGGGCAAGGGAGCAGCGTGTGTCCAGGGCTGTGGCACGCAGCTTCTTGGAGGGGGCAGATGACAGTGGCAGACACGGTGGGGATCTTAGGGGCCAAAGAATTTGTCTGTGGAGGAGTTGGCGTTGAGCTCTGAGGGAGTGGAGAGCTATGGAAGGGGTCAGAGGAGCAGAGCCACATAGTGGGGTACAACTTTGGGAGAGGACCCTGGAGCCACAGTGCACTCCAGGTGGGGGGAAGAGGGCAGCCTGGCCCAGGTGGGAATGGTGGGTTATGGGACAGGCCTTGGGTTCTGGGGCTGATGGGCAGGCAGCTGTCGCCAGGACAGGAGGTGGCAGTGCCATTGACCGAGCACAGATGGCAGAAAAAGCCTGAGGTGTGGAGGGAGGAGAGTGCAGAGTTTCACATTGAGTGAGTCATCAGCTCTCTAATGCCGGCTGGAAGAGAGGAAAGGTTCAATTTGGTCTGGAGCCTCCGCCATGGTGGGTTGGGCCGGGGGAAGCATTGTGTCATGGTGGGATCATGTGGCAGAGGAGCTGCTCACCTCACGGGGGCCATCCCAGGAGGCCGAGCCCTGGATAGTATGACACCTAATCCAAAATCACCAGTCTCAGGAAGAGTACGGGTGCAGCATGCACACGCGGCTCCTGGCCTCCACTTCCCTGACATCTCCTGGCACCTCCTTGAAACACCGGGGCCACCATGTTTGCCTTCTCTCCCAGTGTCGTGGTGTATGATGCCCCTGGCTCTGACGCGAGGGTGTGTGCCTGAAGTGGGTGCAGAGCTCGAGGGTGGTGCCTACTGCAACCCAGGCAGGAGGGGAGCTGGCTGTGTGGCATGGATGGCCAGGCCTAGACAGCATTGGGTGCAAGTCCTGTGTCCCTTCAGGTACTTCCACTGCCCGGCTGACAGCTCGGAGCTGGCCTACGACCCGCCAGTGGTCATGAACGCAGACACCCTGAGCTACTGCCAGAAGGAGGCCTGGTGCAAGCTGGCCTTCTACCTGCTCTCCTTCTTCTACTACCTGTACTGGTGAGCACTGCCGCAGGAGGGTGTGCCATACTCAGGGCAAAGCTGGGGATGGGGCTTCCCGAGGGAGCAGCGTGGGGCAGGCAGATGTCCCGTCCTGAGCACGTCCTCAGGCCCACACTGCCAGGTGCCTCCTTCCAGTGTCCCCCTCCGGTCAGGGTGGAGTGCAGGGGCACCTCTGCTTCCCAGGGGCTTCCCAGTGGCATGTCAGTCTCACCACCTGCCCTCAGCATCTCTGACGTCACCTGAAGCACTTGGCTGAGCCAGACCAGCCACTGTGCAGCTGTGCCTGGGGGGCAGCCTCTCCCTGTCGCCTTTGGTCCTGCATCCCCTATAGGTGATAGCAGCTGGACAGAGGAGGAAGGGGGTGTTAGATTGCAGTCACCTCAGGGCCGAAGCAAGGAGGTCGTATCTGTGCTGTCCAGCGTCCAGAGACCAGCTGGGCTCTAAGCTCAGGGATCTGTGTGTGTCCTTGGGTTATGAGCTGGGTGCTGTCTATACCCATGTGTGACATCCTTGGAGATGATCCCTTAACCACTGATGTCTCCGGGTCTCAAAGTGGGGTTTTGGTCAAGTCATGGGGGCAGGTGACAAGCGTGTGTTTCCAACACACAGCCCTGGGTGCCGTGTCCCGGAGTCAGGAGGCCAGGTGTCTGGGGATCCTGAGGTGCCGGGCGAGGCAGGCCACACGTGGTGGTGGGGATTCTGCTGCCTGTATCAGTAGTGGGTGCCAAGGCTGTGGCACCATAACTGCAGCTCAGGCTGTGTCTCCTGCCCCACCTGGGACTCTTCTCGGCCTCCTTTCCTCTGGGTCTCTCTGCCTGTAACTGTGTCACTCGAGGATTTCTTGTCTGGTGTCTCAGCCTGTCACACAGCTGCTGGTTTGAGCTCCACTGCTGGGCTGGGTCCCTCCAGGGCCGGGCTGGGCTTGAAGAGGCACTCAGTAGATGTTCAGGAAGGCTAAACAGGAGGGACGGAGCAGAGACGGAGGGTGCAGCTGTGGGGTGAGCAGGCCTTGGGATGGGACCCCTACTCCCTGTAGGACGGGCCCTTGGCTCCCGACCTGGTAGAGTTTCTGTGAACACCGCAGATCAGAGTCCCCTCCAAGCTCAGTGCCTGTCCTCTCTTGGGCTGGGCCTCGCCTGGGTCCTGCTCCCAGTGCAGAGTCCTGAGCACAAAAGGCCAGGGTGGAAGTCACTTGGTTCCTGTTCCTATTCCTCTTCCTGCCTTGCTGATGACCCTGCCCACGTCCCTGCCCCACCCCCAGATCCACCAGGGTGAGCTGGTGGCTGACAGGTCCTGTCCCTGCTGCTGTGGTGAGGACAGGATCTGAGAGGAGCGTGGGAGTGGACACTTGGGGCAGTCCTTGCCCCCAAAGCCTTGGCATACAGTGTGGCAGTGCCCACGTCAGTGCAGGAAGCATTAGGGGCCGTGGGGAGCAGGTCCAGGACAGGACCCGAGGAGATGCCCGTTCGAGCCTCTCAAGCCTCTCTTGAGCCCTGGCTCACACAGCTCCCGCTAATGCCTCTCCCCTTTCTCACCAGCATGATCTACACGCTGGTGAGCTCCTAACTCCCAGGGCAGGTGCTGCAGAGACCATGGGAGGCCGAAGCTGAGGAGTCCACTTCCGCTGGCGACTGGATTAGGGTCAGAGAGGGGGCGCAGGAGAAGGCTGGGCGGCTGTGACGTCGCAAGGACCGGGACAGTGCAGCAGCGGTCCGGGTCGCTGTGCCTGTCTGCCGCCCGTGTGTATCAGTCCGCACTCAAATCCCACATACAGGAAGTAGGCGACAAACACTGAACTCCACTGAACCACCATTGCTGCTTCCCCAACCCACCATTGTGGAAGACCTCCTGGCCCTGGGAGCAGGTTGGGTGCTGGAAGGCGCCTGCCAAGGACAGACGCCAGTCAAGGCTGTGTGCACAGGGCCGTGGGACGCTGGGGGTGTTGTGGGCCACCTGGGATGCTTGGTTCCTCCTAACTGTGGCCTCGGCCTGGCCTCTGTGCAGGGCTGGGATGTGGGTGGCTGGCTGGGGCACCGCCCGGAGTTTGTAGGATCTGTGCCCGATTGCTAAATTCAGAGGTGACTTCTGGAGCGGCTTTGGGGCAGGGTATTGGCATGGACTCCTGTCCAGTGTTGCTGGGTGATCTGGGGAGGGGAACTAAGGGAAATGGAATTTTTAAAATATTTTCAACACATTCAGGTGTTTATTCTTTAGCCTCTCGAGGTATATTCTGCTGTTCCCAAAACCATCAGAGTAACAAACCAGCCAGCCAGATTTAGAGCTGCCTTTTCATAAAAGTCCGAGAGCAATCGGAGCCCAGAGAACCCACACAGTGTTGCCTGGAGCAGACAACATAACTACAACTGCTGTTTATTTCAGTGGAGGCACCGGCAAGTTTAGAATCTTCCTCTTGGGGTTCTCTCCACCTGGGGTGGGTGCAGTGTGCAGGGTGTGAACAGCGATAAACAGCCTGTTCTGATGTTTAAGTCAAGCACAGTGGTGCTGACCTTGTTCCCCATTCTCCTGGCTGAGACCCAGACTACACTGTGTGTCAGCTGCTGTGGCGAGGCCATGACTCAGCTGTGAGGGGGTCTTGGTGTGCGCTGTGTCCTGTTTTCATGCTGGTCTGTTCACTGGGCCCCCTCAGTTCAACCCTGTCTGAGCAGGACTTGCTCCATATGGTAAGCAGAGGGGACGGTGGAAAAAGTGAAGTTTCAAAAAGGTTCACTGCTTCTGGAAATTCTACAGAAAACAGAATGCAGGCTTCTGTTGCTGATGCACCAACCTGAGGCAGAGCGGTGTTTCAGAGCAGGTGCCTGTCCTCTCTTGACACCCTGGCCCCTGGCAGGTGACTGCTGTGGGTCATACGGGTCATACATCGATCTCAGGGCCCCTGACCTCACTGGCTCCGTCCTCAGAAGCCAGTCACGGTCACCCTGGAGCGAGCAGGCCTGACCCTGGTTCCCGGAATGTGGCCCAGGTGAGGCTGTTCTGTTTCCATACTTGCCTCCTTCCTAGCGGGGCTGGAGTGGCCTCTAACCAGATGCAAGCAGGAATGGAATCAGGAAATGCAGACTTACAAAGGAAGGGTGGTTGGCAACCCTGCCTCCCAGAGGCTTTCTGTTGGTGCTGTCAGCTTCAGTTTGTACTGTCTCTTGTGGTGAATGGTAGCGGTTCAAACTTACACGGCTGCTCACAGGCTTCCACACCTCTCAGGACCCTCCTGGCAATCCTGTGAGGGCAAAACTGTCCTCCGCTCATGTTGTAGGAGAGAAAACCAAGGCTCGGGTGAAGGGAGAGGGGTGAGGGGTAAGGAGTAAGGGCCTCCCTGTAGCCACGTGGCAATCACAGCCCTGCTTTTGAACCACACATCTGACTTTAAAAATCCATGTCCTGTGCCTCACCCTGAAAGCCACTTAAGCAGCCCAGATCCTGCTACAGAGCAAATGGTGGATCTGTTTGAAGAGGGATATAAAACCGGAAGTTTAGGGGAAGTCTTGGGGGCCCAGCCATCTTCTGGAGGGAGGGTCTCTCAGAAGGGCTTCCAGTGCCTGGGCTGCTCTTATGGGGATGGCAGAGAAGCAGCCAGCTTCCTGAGAAGTAGCTCTGGCTCCTGGCAGGAGTGATCAAACTTCTAATCTCAGGGAGAGGTCGGTGGGGAGTGAGGACAAGGTTACAGAGGTGAAGGTCACAAGAAGGTGACTCCGACCGTTAGAGGTCAGCTGTGGAGCTCGTGCCCCAGTAACTGAAAAATGGACAAAGGAGGTTAAGAGAAAGTCCTGAGAGACAGGAAGGGTCCTAAAAGTGGGCTGCGGCGTGCTCTTTGTCTGGGGTTTTATACAGGAAAGCGAGCACATCTCAAGCCTCTCTGGGCCGGGCTGAGGCCAACCTGTGGGTTGCAAGTCCAGTGTCACTGCTGATACCCATCTGAGAGGGAAGCGCGGCACAGGGCGGGCGTGCAGAGGAAGCGCCATGCACTGCAGCTTGGGTATAACTCCCCATGTAGAGAGAGCAGAGGCAGCTGGGGAAGGGACCGGGAAGGGAGTCCTGCCCCCATCACGCCTCGGCTAGGCTTGCGGCAGGCGGTGCTGATGCAGTGCGTTCCCAGCTGCTGTCTGCTCCAGGGAGGCCACAGGCCTGCTACTCTTCCAGTTCCTCTCAGTCGCAGTGTCTGCCCTGACTTCCCAGAAGCCGGGCCCCCTCTGGCTGCCTCTTAATTTCTGAGGAGTCTAGTCTGTCTGTACACAATCAAGGGTGAGCTGCGGCACAGTGCTCGGGAGCTGTGGCCGCCTGCAGTGGGGCATGCTGCCTCTGTGGCCAGGCTGTGCAGCTCCGGGAGGCAATGGGACGGAACAGAGGACTCTGACTGACACCAGGAGAGTGGCCATCCCTGGCGAGCGTGTTGCCGGCTGCAGCTGGGTGTGTGTGGTTGGAGGGTTTGGGCTATGGCCTTGCCTCTGTAAGATCGGGGAGCGGCCCCCTTGGGTGCTGTGATGACGGAGCCTGGCTCGGCCAGCCTGTCTCAGTGGAGGAGGACCAGACACCATCAGCAGGAAGCTCCCCAGCACAGCAGAGTAGCACAGCCTCCTTCCTCACCGCCCTCCATCCTGGGGGCCCACGGTCCCAGCCACAGACCACAACCCCTGGCTGACAGAGCTCAGCTCTCCAGGGAGAACCTCCCTTCGTGTTCTATTTTTAGTTTGGTAATTGCACCAATGTGGAATAGAATTGTCACGGCTGTGACAGCTTTGTTCTCCCACCAGGAGCTGAATGCAGCCGCAAAGTGCTTTGACAACAATGAATGGCACTCACGCTGGGTCGGCACACAGATCTGCTTCCTAACCTTTCTCCCTAGGACTCAGCTGCTCTGTTCCATGCTGAGCTCTGCAGAGCATGTGGGGTGGAACCTTTGGCCCAGGCTGTGCCTCCTGGGGCTGCTGGGTCCCCAGGCCGGGCTACAGGCTGCTGTCCCTGTGGGCATGGAGGAGGGAGGATCTGGGGTGCCCCTGGGGCTCTGCTGGCCCCAGGCATGGGGAGAGGGCTGGGCAGGTGGTTCCTGGGAACACAGGAGCGGCAATGGGGTGAGGTGGGTGCGTCAGAGCCGCCCCTGTGGGGGCGTGCAGAGGGGGCAACCCCAGAGTGTGCCTCCGGCTGGGTCTCACCCGCTGGAGTAGAAGCGGGGTCAGAACCGCCCAGCAGATGGCATCTTCTGGGCAGTGCCCATCACCCCAGTTCTTCCTTCCCCTCCCAGTTCTCCTGGCATCTGGACTCCAAGCCTGTGCAGGAAGGAGGCCAGTGTGGGCTGGAACTGTCTTGCTCAGGCTCTGGGAACCAAGGATTTTGCTAAGCAGTGGTGACACACAGCTGTTAAAGCCAAGCTTATGTAAGTGTACGTAAATTATATTAAAAATCAAAGTCAGAACTCATCACTTCCTAATCACCATGACACACATTAATGCCACCCAAGCTTCCTGGGCCACACAGCCTCCTGGATGAGGAAGCATTGAGCTGCGGGGGGCAGTGGCACTGTGCCTGTCCCCACCTGGAGTTCGGTGACATCCCACTAGCAGCTGCAGGTGGGCCAGAGTGTGCCTAGGCCCCAGGGGAGTGTTCACCCACGGGATGAGCAGATGCTGCAGGTGTGTGACACGCTTGCTGGCATACATCTCCGGCCTGGCATTGTTGGTTTTGGCCTGATGCGGCCCCTCATAGGGGAGAGGTCCTGATGGAGCAGAGCTGCCCGCCTCATCCCGAGAGCAAGAGAGAAACCCTCAAGGGCACCCCAACACCTAAGACCCCACCCCTAAAGTCTCCACCACCTCCCAACAGCCCAGCCCAGTAGGAGGGACATGAACAACCAGACTTCAGCAGGAGGACGTGGCCTGTTAAGGTTCCTCAGGGCTGGGGGAAGGTAGCATGGCTTCTCTGCTGGCCACGGAAAAGCTCTGATTTTAGACCCAGTGCTGCATCTATGGGCCAGGGCCCCTCCCAGACAGGGCTGTCACTGTGTGTGTGTGTGTGTGTGTGTGTGGCCCCTGTCCAGAACTTGGCACAGGACATGAGCTCCATTACTATGCCTTCTCCCTCCCTCTTGTCACTTGAGCTAATACACACACTGTGTCCCCTCCCACCTGCACGGGGCTTCTTCCTCCCTTGCTGTGTCCCCTCTGGGTCCGGCTTCCCACTGGACCCCAGAGACCTCAGACGCTGGCCTTTTGGCTTAGAGATGCAGCAGTTCCAGGAGACTTGTCCTGCCAGCCAGCAAAGAAAGACAGAAATGCCACCGCAGTGCCACTGTTCAAACATCATACCGGGCTGGCCGGAATCCTTGTCCTTTTCAGAAACACCCCACACCAGAAAAACATCATCGCCTTTCTGACTGGAATATGTCTGATGTCAGGAGTGGGAGAAGTAGAGGAAACGAACTCTCCATGAAATACTAGTGCCCTTATCAAACTGCGGTGAGACGGTCAGCTGGGCCTGCCTGGGACAGTCTGCCTGTACCACCACGGCGGCAGCAGCGGGAAGCACAGGGCTTTGGGACACTTTCCCAGGTGTGTCCCACAGGTCCTGGGAGGGACAGTCACTCTGAGGAGGCCAGCAGCGGAAGGGCAGGAGAGAGTTGGAGCAGTGGCCAAGTAAATGATGGGTTTTGGTGGAAACACAGCTCCTGAAGTGATGTGTGACTGGCTTGCCCAGGAGCCATGGTGGGGTTGTCCCAGCCCTTACCACCCCACCTGGGGAGAGCTATTTCATTTATAGAGGACAGGTGCTCTGAGGGGACAGTTTGAAGACACATGCTCTGAGGAGTAGTTCATAGTTGTGCTCTGAGGGGACAGTTCATGGACACCTGCTCTGAGGGAACAGTTCGCAGATACGTGCTATGAGGGGATAGTACATAGATGTGCTCCAAGGGGACAGTTCCTAGACACCTGCTCTGAGGGGACAGTTTGTAGACACGTGCCCTGAGGGAGCAGTGAGAGACTGGAACCTCCCTAGAGCAAGGAATCTAAAATCCATGTCATGAACCAGGTAGAGAAGGTTCTAGAAGAAGTATTTAAGGAATGCAAGAGGCAGAGGACAGAAATGCTGAAAGCCTCCCCTCTCCCTTCCTGTGGTGTTGGGGCAGTTGCTTCCTGGTGAGGCTTTTAGAGCACTGAGTTCTATGACCAGGTCCACAGTAGGCTCCCCAGGTTGTCTCTGCTGGGCCTGGGGGGATAGCTTGCACGACATTCTTCAGAGTGCAGCAGAGGAGGCAAGAAGAGCTCACCGAGGTGAGGAGTAAGGAGCGAGTGTTTGCCACGGAACAGGGTGGGTCCCACAGCCTCATTATCAGCGGTGCTGTGAAGATGCAGGCCATGGCCCAAGTTGGACAACAGCACCCAGAATAATCGATCTCCATAATTCAAAGGCAGCAAAAAGAGGAAGGGCTGAACTCAAGAGGTTATGGGTTCCAGTCTCTTTGAGGACAGGCATTTAAGTATCTCTAGAGCTGGGCTCTGTCCTTATTGGGCTCAGGATCAGTGTCTGCCAGGCTCAGCTGAATGCTGGGGGAACTTGAAATCTGCGGGGGTGGAGCTGACCCCGGGTGGAGGGTTGGTGTCCAGCAGGGCACTGGGGAGAGGTCTGTCCCTGAGACACCTGTGGTCAGTGCTTTCAAGGTGGGCCCAGGTTTGCAGGAGGAGCTCACTGCTGCAGAAACCACCCTGCTCTTGGTCTCTGAGTTACCAGGGCCCTGAGGGAGCAGAGGTCCTGAATCTGTGGGAGTCTCAGGGGGACTAATGCTGTCATATCTCAGGATGATGTAGAAAACCTCCATCCAAGGGAAGAAAAAGGCTGGGCCTCTGGACAGATTTATGGGTTTCGGAGAGTTGGGCTAGGGATGGGGCTGCATCCCAAGGAGTGGCTTCCAGGCCCCACAGTAGTCCCTGCTTCCTCGAGGGGCCTGCATTGCACCTGGGTTGGCTCCTAGCAGGGCTCCGGACAGAGGTGGTTCAGGAGCTCCCACTGTGCCCACAGAACCTTGGGGGCTCTCGGGCCAGTGCATGGAGGGACAGGGCATGCGTGAGAGGTGGTGACAAGGAAGGGGACAGTCACCCCTCACTGGAGCAAGGTCTTCCTTTGCTCAGGTCCAGCTTTCTGTGGCCTGTCAGACTGGCCTCGAGGGACACCACCTGCCATCTATGGAGAGGTCCGCGGCCTGGTGCTAGGCAAGCGGTGGAGAGCGATTGGAGGGATTGCCCTGACTCCTGGGTCAGTTCTGTTCAAAGTGGCTGGAGACTCCGGGCCATAGTCAGCTGCTGGGGCTGGGATATGAATCCAGCCATCCGTGACCTCTTGCATCGTTGACTGAAAGGACTAAACTGGACTTCTGACTTGACCTCTTCTGGCTGTATGAGGTCGGCCACGTTTTTTAACCCTCCCGAATCCTAGTTTGCTCAACTGTGTGTTGAGTGTGCTAATCCATAATTTTCCAAGGGTGATGTGGATATGAAGTGTGATCATTTATATAAAATCAGTTTGTAGTTTGAAAAAACCAGTACCAACATGAAGGCTTAGCACCACCCTCATCACGGATGGAGTTGCCTCTTATTTGCTTCATGGAGAGGCTTAAAATACAGCTGGATCTGAGTTTCAGGGTGAGGGCTGAGGGGACTGGCCTTTGGGCAGAGGAAATGGGCTCCCAGCTCTGCTCCCAGGTGCCCACCTGGATGCAGTATGGGGGCTATAGAGTTTCTGATGCAGTAGTTTTGACCCCTGGGGTCAACATTTTACTCCATGTCTAAAAGTGGGCACTGTTCCAGTGCTGATAATTTTCCCTGAGAAAGATATTTCAGGTGCAGGCTCCACTGGGCCAGTTTAATTCCTTGGACAATTTTAAACATGGCAGCATTAGACTGTTTCCAAATTTTTCCATTTCCATTTTCCTAAAATTATTTTTGCTGAGATCAATGACTGTTTGTACAAAAATTATGAACAAGATTAAATTTATTAGTCTTCTAAAATTGTCAGTTTGCCAGTGTGAGTTTCATGTGGAACTACCAATTTTACCAAGTCCAAAATCTCCCAAGTCAAATGTCTTGCCACCAAGTTCTTAGATCAGTGTGTGGTCATCCACAATTCCCGATGGGTACCGCGGTCCGTGGACTCTCGGTGGTGCTGAAGGTCTCACTAAATCTATTTTCTTCTCCACACCACTAGCTGCTGTAGCCTCCCCACCATCCACAGGAGGAGTCCTTCAGTAAATTCACCTGGCACGTGTTGTACCATGGGCTGCTTTAGACACTGTCAAATTTATGTTACTCTGATTATTTCCGCCAGAAACAACTGTCATCGGACTCAGGAATGGTAGTTCACTATTTCATGATAAACGCTTGTGAATATAACTGGCAGCTGTCGGTCAGCGTTTCTCACCAGCTTGGCCACAGGCTGCCATTCCAGTCTGCTGGGCCCTTCTGGGTGGGTTGGAGGGAAGAGGCCAGGGCCAGGGTGAGGGTCTCCAGAGTGTCCTGATGTGACCAAAGCCCTGAGAGACGGCGGGGACACGGTGGGGCTGGCTTTAGTGCGGAGACGGATGTAGATGGGGTAGGGAGCACAGTGATGCTGGGAGGGTCGGAAAGTTCTGCAGAAACCCAGGGGAGGTGAGCTGCGGCATGCAGTGTGGACGGTGCTGCGACCTTTCTCCACGCACTGCAGGGCTTCCACCTCCTGCTGTCACACCTCTGTGTGGCCTGCGAGCAGTGACTTCCCATTTTATCCACTGATGTGCACAGAGCTGCAGTCTGTGTGGCTGGGTCAGAGTTTCCTGGAGGAGGCCTCTGTCTCCCCAGGAGCAGCCCAGATACTCAGAGGAGAGCAGCAGCCTCCCCTTCTGAGTCCCACTGCAGCCTCAGAAAGATCTGGAGCACAGCAATCCTGCAAGCAGGCTCTGCTCAGGCAGTGACATTGGCACCTTAGTGGTTACATCCACGCTGCCACCGAGTGGATGGCAGTTAAGGAAGCACCTGAGTGATTAAGAAAGAAAGCATTGCTTTCTTGAAGGGACCCACAGACTGATGGATTATCTGCTGCAATCCTAAATATGTGTAAACTCATGAAATAAACACACACAGTTCAGGTCAGCCGTAGCAGGGAATGGGCAGGTAGAGTGCTTGTGTTAGATTATTACTTACAAGTGCATTCAACCATGTGATAATTCTTATGTATTCACTCATTGTATTCATTTATTCTGTAAAACCTTATAAACCTTGTATCATGCACAAGATTAAGTGTACAATGGTGACTAAGAGGAAGCCTTGGATTACAGCCCTTGCAGAGCCCACTGATCTACCCATCCATCCACCCACCCAACCATACATCCACCCACCCATCCATCCACCCATCCACCCATCCATCCATGCACCCACCCAACCATACATCTACCCATCCATCCATCCACCCACCCAACCATACATCTACCCATCCATCCATCCATCCACCCATCCATCCATCCATCCATCCATCCATCCATCCATCCATCCATCCGGGATGCCTGCTAGGACCGCAGAGCCCTTAGAACACTTGGCTGAATTGTAACCCACAGTACCATAGCCCTGTGCAGCCTCAGAGTCCTTTCCATGTCCCTGTCCTCCTCGTCTGCTCTCTACCCCGGCTTTGAGCTGCCTCGATAGCCCTCATTTTGCACATCTGTGTGGATACAAACTTGAGTCCTACCTCTGCAATGCATGTGCCACTCCTGTGAGTTCACAGTTTTACTGGAGATGCTAGAGATGGGTGTAAGGAGCTAAGGGAAGAGTCCTGTGGAGGAGACTTTGACTTTCACCCCTTGCCTCGCCCTTTCTCTCGCCACCTTCTGTTTCTTCTCCACACATGAATGAGCATAACTACCACCTCCACACATGAAACTTACAATGTTGTGCTGAATAAACCGTGCCTGGAGGCTCAGCTTTTATCCCAAGTTAGATGGTCAAAAACACTTCTCAAAAGGGGCTCTAGGGAGAAAAACGAGTACTTCTTCATCTCCCATTTTATTTTTCTGTCTGGAAACCTCTGTGTTAAGGCAGGGACAGATGAAAGGGAGAGTGATTTGAGAAAGACTGACAGATGGAAAACAAGTAGCAGATCTTAGAACTGGGGTCCATTCCCACACACGTCAGAAAAAGGAAGGCGAATACACTAGCAATGACAGTTCTGTGCACATTTCTGTCTCTTACTGAATTCCTGCAAGATATAGATCATGTGCAGTTTGGTATCTAAGGGTGTGGTTCCAGTGCTCTGCACGCATTGCCCCAACACTCAGGCTGGGAAACAAGAACATTCACCTTTCAGTCTCAGGCGGGGAATCTGGAAGCTGCTTGGCAGGTGGCTGCGGCCCAGCCTCTCCTGAGGCTGCAGTCTGAATGCTGCTGGCCGGCTGGGAATTTGCTCCCAAAAGGCCTCTCCCTGTGTGCCGGGGAGACCTCGCATCCTCACAGTGTCCACTCTTCCTGCAGCGTGGCACACAGCTTCCACCAGGATGGCCTGAGAGGGAGGAAGGGAGAAGTTGCAGTGCTGTGACCTGGGCTTGGAAGTGGAGCAGGCTGCTCAGGGCCTGATTACTAGGGATGAACTTCAGATAGGGGGCCTCGGGCACGGCCATCACAAGGCATTTTCTAAACACTGGAGAGAAAAGTCCAGAGGAAGCAGGAATAGGAAGGTGGGAATGTGTAGTGCCTGCCTCTCTCTAGTCCCAGTCCTTCCTCCGGTGTTTTCCGCCTGATATGCCCACTCCAGGCTCCACACACTGGGCCGCATGAGTGCCCTTCACTGCAAACCACTCGACCCTGGTCATTTTGCAGTGGTGACAGCGAACAGCAGTTCAGAGTCCATGCAGCGTGCAAAGCGTGTACCTAAGTGACTGTTTAAATGCAAGACTGTGTGCCCATTCACCCTGTTTCACAAAGGTGGGAGTGGAGAGAGGGGTGACGTGAGGGGCCCCCGCTGGATTTCTGGGCTGTTCCGCAGTCTTGCTGGTGTTGTCGTGGGTCAGTTTCTGAATGTGGCCAGGAGGTGGAGAGCACAGAGCAGGGCCCGGGCACGGCAGGAAGTGGTTCACGGGTGAAGAGCAGGCTCTGCCCTGGGAGCCAGCAAGTTTCCCTCCAGGGCACAGCCGGAGACAGTGACCAGGACTCTGCCTGTGCAGATGCAGCACACAGAGCTGCGAAAACCACATGGGTTTCCTCTGAGAACACCAGCAGTTCAGACAAACTCTGCTGCTTCCCCTATGAAACTTCAGTGCCCTGTGGGAGGCTGTACAGCTCCTGAGGAAGCAGGGGCTTTGAAGAGTGACTCAGTGAAAGTGGACGGGCTGTGGGGATGTTTTCCAAATATGCAGCCAGCTCCTTCTGCCAGCAAAGAGGGACAAGAAACCAGCAATCTGCATAAAAAGCAGAGATCACACTTAAATACCATGCGTAACATCCACTCTCACAGTGTTGTCTCATCCCATCCTTTTACATTCTTATTGTGTCTCAGAAACTCAGGCTGGAGAATAAGAAGAACGTCCGTAAGTAGGAGTCAGAGCGGAGTTCAGCCACTCACTCAGCAGTCACCCTGGCGCTTGTCTGGAGAGGACTTGGGCTGCGTGACAGTGTTTAGACTTCAGGCTCCATCCTGGGTGGTGTTCGCTGAACACTTGTATCTCCTGAAACCCTGATGGTGTTTCAGGCCTAAAACAAAGTAAGATAAGTAAGGTAAGCTTCTCGATCCCTAAAGGACCTTGAAATATCGCCTGGAAAAGAGAATTTAGGACAACACAAGAGAGAAGTAAATTCGAAACTCTGTGGTAGTGTCCCTCAAGCTAGGGTCAGACGGGGCACACAGGCTGTGATACTGACTCGTGGGCCATGGAGCAGGGATCCCCAGGTGCCCAGAACCTCAGGGTTCCTCTGTGAGGCTGATCCCGTGGGTGTGGCATGGCTTTCACTACAAATAGAGGTGGCTGGAGGCTACCTTGGGAGCATTAAGACCCACTGTGTACTGCCCTGCTCTGCTGCCCACCTTGCTCTAGGTGTGGGCTCCCCTCTCTGTCCAGACAATCACTGGGACCCCAGGACTGAGTGGGTCTGTGGAGAGCTCACCTGGGGCAGGTAACTGCGTGTGGGAAGAGAGCCTGGCATAACAGGAGCCGTGTGCCGTCACGGCCTGGAGAGAGGACCACAGTGACAGGGGCAGAAGAAGAGGACCCAGTACAGGGCAGGTACAGGGATGGTGCCGTACTGCACAGCTCAGCTCTGACACCATCCGGATACCACCAGCCATGATGGGCACAGACACCTGGGAGCTAATGCCAGCCTTGCCCTATGGATTCTGCCAACGTGGACTGGAAATATTTGAAAAGAAAAAACCACATCTGTACTGACCACATCCAACTGTTCTTGTCGTTTTCTGATCGTGCAGGTGACAGCTTCTCATTCAGCATTTGCACCAGGCACTCTGTGCTCTCCAGGAGGACGTGGGCAGGTTTGTGAGCTCGGCACCATTTCCTACATGGGGGCCCCGAGTACCCGAGGACTTGGGTGTGGCTGGTCTCCTGGACCTCTTCCCTGGGAGACCCCTTGTCCATATTGCTGGCCCTTTAGAACCTCAGGCAGAGCGGCACTGAACAAGGCTGCCTTGTTAAGGGGGAAATCTCTTTGGAGCAAGGTTATCTCCAACAGGACTGGTCTTCTAAAACTGGAATGGTTTTAATTTCACTTAAACCATCTGCATGCACGGCGCCATGCCATGCACCTCGTCTGGATCATTTTACTCAGCCTTCCAACACATACACGGGCGAGGCCCCCACCCTGCCACACAGGCAGGTGAGGAAACTGATGCCAGGATGTGAACTCCCAGCTGGCAAGCAGCAGAGCCAGCTCGGGGGCCCAGTCTCTGACAGGGTCTGGGGCAAACGCTGACTGAGGGGCTTCGGATTCTTCTCCGCTCCAGGGATTCCCCAGTGATGCAGTCGATCAGTTCATTGTCAGTAACATTTATGCTTAGCTGATTTCATCAGAAGTGTAGAAATGGCTAAGAGTAACCTCGAGTGGTGGTGATGTTAATTCTTGTTTTCAAAAATATGACCAGAAAGGCAGATTTCTACTTAAGGATCTTTGTACTGGTCTGAATGATTTAAGATGGCATGGTACCAGCCTTTGCTAGCTTAGATGCTGTTCTTCATGCTATGGATGAAAGGAGCCAAGCCCAGCTGTAGGAGGAAGGAGAGCAGTCTGTGGCCAAGCTGCTCACTTTAGGAAACACGGCTACAGCTTCCAAGACGACAGCATCCAGACAGGAATTGCGGGGAGTGTGGTGCATTTGGGGCCTTATCATGAACTCTAAGGGGCTGAGCCAGCCAGGCACCCCAGGCCACTTTTTACTGGTAAAGTGTGACTGGACTGCCCAGGACAAGTGGGGCTGGAGGCTGAGGGGAACGTTGTGACTTAGCTGTCCAGCATGGTGATGCCTGGAGCATCTGGGGAGGGTACACTGGGTCCTGTGGCCTCAGGCAAACCGAGGAAGCTTCTGTGTCTGCTGCTGTGGGCTCCTTGGCCCTGTGCCATTCGAGTCCCTGGGAATGCGCCTTCTCTGATTCTGTGCCACTGTGCACTGGGCCCCACAAGGAGGCAGGAACATAAACCAAGAAGATGTGGTCCCTATGCTCCAGAGTCACCCAGGAGCTCCTTGTCCCCAGGAAAGTGCACTCACGGAAAAGGAAGAGTGGGACTGTGGCCAAGACTGGGCCTGTGAGGAGGGGCACAGCAGGGACCCCTAAGCCGGTGGGGTGGGAAGGTGTGGGCTGGGAAGAGCTTTGTTGGGGTGCTCAGGTCTGAGGCGTCCCTGAGGTGAGCCCGGGGCCTCCATCTGCTAGGACTCAGCTGCACCTCGGCTCCACTGCCGTGGCCTCTGCTGTTGGATATGGGCTTGGCTGTGGGGGCTGCCACTGGGGTGCTGTGGTCCTCAGTGGTGTCACTGGGAGGGGACTGTGCAATGCTGGTCCTGCCCTCGTCCTCTTGGCTTCTCACAATGTCCTGCAAGTGGTTTTGCCCCACCCTGAACTTCTGCTATGGCTGTTCCCTTCTCAACAGCCCAAAGAGAAACGGGCCCCGGATCCTGGGCTGGAAGCCCCAGAATGGTGAGCCAGTGTGACTCCTCTCTTAGGACTTGGCTGCCTCTGGAATCTGCTGCAGTCGCTAAAGCTGAGGAACACAGCTTCCGCATCGGCGCAGTGGGAAAACAACAGGAACTCTGGGTACTGCGAGGACTAAAACACGGCAGTGTGAGAAGCTCTGCGTGTTCATCGTGAGGTCGCTGTGGCTGTGAAGTTCTGCCCCGGGGCCAGCTGAGG